TTTTTTTTTTTTTTTTTTTTTTTACAAGTATTTATCTATAAACTGTGAGCTGATCTTGTATCCAAGAGTCAATTTTTGTCTTGGACCCTTATTGCTCTTAGACTCTGCTTTCAAAGCACAGGTGAGAATAGAACAGAAAAGAATAGAATTTACCTCACCCTTCTCTGACTGCATCCATTTTGCATTACTAATAGAAGTAAAAGTGTCAGCAAATGATAAACCAGCCAGTTAGAACAACTTCTGCAGCTACTGAATAAGATGCTATTTTTATATAATCACTTTACTCATCAGGACTTCATTTTCCTTCAAAGATACTCGTGGAAAAAAAGTCTAGACAGTTGACTGTTTACAACTGTGGGTTTTTTTGTTTTGTTTTTGTGTTTTTTTTCAATGGGGAAACAAACTCTTTTTAAAGTCCTTGCAGTTTCTTCAGAGTGTTGGGATGGCAGTTCCTGAAGGTGGTGTGTTCAGCCTTTCTGGGACAAGAGGCCTCAAATTGTTTCTCAGTGATGTTTCTGTAGGGCTGAAAACCAACACTGCAAAGTTCTGAGAGTCAGCTTTTCCTACATGGCCTTGCTGTAACTTTGTTCTGCTAAAAGCAGTCACCTAATGCAGTCAAAGTCTAGACAGTTGACTGTTTACAACTGTGGGTTTTTTTGTTTTGTTTTTGTGTTTTTTTTCAATGGGGAAACAAACTCTTTTTAAAGTCCTTGCAGTTTCTTCAGAGTGTTGGGATGGCAGTTCCTGAAGGTGGTGTGTTCAGCCTTTCTGGGACAAGAGGCCTCAAATTGTTTCTCAGTGATGTTTCTGTAGGGCTGAAAACCAACACTGCAAAGTTCTGAGAGTCAGCTTTTCCTACATGGCCTTGCTGTAACTTTGTTCTGCTAAAAGCAGTCACCTAATGCAGTCAGGTTGGTGGGAGGTGTCCCTGCCCATGGCAGGGGCTTGGAATTTGATGATCTTTAAGGTCCCTTCCAACTCTAACCATTCTAGTGTGGAGAGGAATTACTATTGGAATAGCTCCTTGGGCCAGACACGCTTTGCCTTCCCCCCCACAATGCCCATAAGTGTGTCTTCAAACATCTATAATTATTCATTCAGCATGTTTAAAAGCTTTTCTTTCATACTGGGTCTCCTGTAGGCTTATTTGATGCTTCTTTCATATTTCAGTTACTAGAATTCTTCTTTTCTGGTCTCAGCTAGTGAACTTATTAAAAATTTAGACCATGTTCTTTAATTTTTATTTATATAACTTAAAAATAAGCCTTGGGAGATTAGATGCTGTAATTTCTGGACTGCCTAGCTTTACAAAAAATCATGCATAATATGTTTTCTATCCTATTTTTGTTTAGCTCAAGATACAGATCTCTATAAGGAAATTACTAAGGGAATTTTAATTTTACATTAACAGAGTTAAACCACTGTATTTTAAAACTGATTTGATATACACCCATGCAGAAGCAGTCTGGATTCAGGCCAGCCAAGTATGAATTTGGTTCGATGTGTTTGCTTTGCATTGATGAATTTGTCAGTGCACAAGAAATCAAAATAGCAAGGTTTAAATTAAATGTATACATTGATACCAGGATTTGCTTGGATTTAAACAGCTTGTTTGTTAAGCCAGCTGGAGTTCCCTGTGACCTGTGTTTGTTAACTGAGCTTTTGATTTGTTTTGTGTCCTCTCTGCTGTCTGAATCACAGACTCATAGAATGGTTTGGGTTGGAAGGGACCTTAAAACTCATCCAGTTCCAACCCCCTGCCCTGGGCAGGGACACCTCCCACCAGACCAGGTTGCTCCAAGCCCCATCCAGCCTGGCCTTGAACCCCTCCAGGGATGGGGCAGCCACAGCTTCTCTGGGCAACCTCTTCCAGTGCCTCACCAACCACTGATGGTCTTGGGCTTCCACCAGCACAGGTTATTCTGAACCTGCTGTTTTTCAGCAGTGTATGAGACATGCTTGTGGGCAGGATGCTCTTCATTTGTTGTCACACCTTGGTGTTGTGGGGCTGAGGGAGTGTGTACTGGAGTGGGAATCATCGGGGAACATCATCATGTAGCATCTTGAGGGTGGTTTTAGTCTAGCTAAACGATCACCCAAATTAACTTGTGACCTATAAAACTTACTCCCGTGGTAAACAAACCCAAAACAAACATTAAAACCCAACTAGCAACAAAAATGTGCAAACCCCAAAGGTGGTTTAGTTGAATCACACACACTACTTCCTTTGATCTGGGAAAGTCCAGTTGTATTTGGGTTTTTTTTTTTTTTTGGTGTTCCAATCTGAGATCACTTTATCAAAACAACACAGTTAGTTTGTATTTCTTTCAGTGGCTGATGCTTTTGTTTGCTGAGCCCTGCTCTCCATACTCTTCTGCATGTAGTCCTTGTTAGTGTTGAATAAAAAGCTATCTAAACAACGATGCTTCTCTGCTGCAAGGCTTGAAAAATCATGCCGGGAGAGAGTAGGAAATCTTTCCTTGGAAAAGGTGTAAAATTGGGCTTCTTTGAAAAACCTGGTGGTTTTTTGGTGAAAGGGAAGGGAGCCTGTCAAGAATGATTGCTAGATACAGCAGTAAAGGAGTCCTTAGGATGGACTGTGTGTGTCTGAGGGCTGTGGCCTCCCCAGGCTTCGTTAGGCTGACGACTGTATTCTGTTACTTATCAGTGCAGAGGTTGTTTTGATTCCTGTGGGCAGCATTAAACCACCAGGAAGAGTTCAGCTGGCTGTGTCTTGGGGGAAGATGAAGAGCCACAGTGGTGATGCTCTGGAGCCATTGTGTACAGGGACATGTATTTCAAAATCTAAATGAGATTTCTCTGCTGCAAGGCTTGAAAAATCATGCCGGGAGAGAGTAGGAAATCTTTCCTTGGAAAAGGTGTAAAATTGGGCTTCTTTGAAAAACCTGGTGGTTTTTTGGTGAAAGGGAAGGGAGCCTGTCAAGAATGATTGCTAGATACAGCAGTAAAGGAGTCCTTAGGATGGACTGTGTGTGTCTGAGGGCTGTGGCCTCCCCAGGCTTCGTTAGGCTGACGACTGTATTCTGTTACTTATCAGTGCAGAGGTTGTTTTGATTCCTGTGGGCAGCATTAAACCACCAGGAAGAGTTCAGCTGGCTGTGTCTTGGGGGAAGATGAAGAGCCACAGTGGTGATGCTCTGGAGCCATTGTGTACAGGGACATGTATTTCAAAATCTAAATGAGATTAGGGTAGCAATGAGCAACCTTTTGAAATACCAAAAATGAGAGAGTGTTACCAGCAGCAATTGTTCTCCCACCACGCAGCGGTTTGAAGAAGAGGGGAAAGTGGTGGCAATAGTGGGGAGGAAAAGAGAATGCTCCTTTTAGGTTATTTTATTTATTAGGGTAGCAATGAGCAACCTTTTGAAATGCCAAAAATGAGAGAGAGAGTGTTACCAGCAGCAATTGTCCTCCCGCCATGCAGTGGTTTGAAGAAGAGGGGAAAGTGGTGGCAATAGTGGGGAGGAAAAGAGAATGCTCCTTTTAGGTTATTTTATTTTATTTTGAGCAACCTGGTCTGGTGGGAGGTGTCCCTGCCCGTGGCAGGGGGTTGGAATTCGATGATCTTTAAGGTCCCTTCCAACTCTAACCATTCTATGATTATTTTTTTTTTAAATCTTTTTAGTGCATCAGTGAGAGCTGGAGATGAGCTTCAAATTTTTTAGCAAGTCAGTAGAGACAAATTATCAGGCTAAAGTCAAACAAGACCCCCTTCTTCAGGAGATCATGGGAAATAAGAGATGGGTAGTTGGTTTTACTTGGATGTTCTTGTTAGGAAGCAGAAGAGCTTGATGTGCAAACGAACGCCGTGAACCAGAGCATATATGGTTAAAGGGAATGCATTTAAAAATTATCAGACTATGTAGGTCTTGTGTCTTTAAAATGTCTTTAAAAACAAAACACGATGAAGATGCACACACTGCAGCTATCTCTTTTCCAGGTAGTAAGCACATCCAGTTAAATTTAGTTGATGATTTACATTCTGCAATTTTACTAGAAAATTGAGAGATGTGGTTATTGAGATTTTGATGCCCAAAGAAGGGTGCAATTTCTATTTAAAGCATCTCGGTATGTTCTCTGAATGTTTGTTATAAAGTGGGAAAAGCTAATTTTTTTCTGAATATTCTGATTCTGAACAACTACAACGGTAGTTGTGTTCCTGCATCGGGAGAATGTAATTTATGGGGCTACTTTGACAGCTACATCACACCTCACTTCTCTGAAGCTGGTGAGTGATTAGCAAAATGAGAAGGGATGAGGTAAAAACGCAACTGATTCAGCAGGTGGTGTTAGGCCACTGATATTCTGTCACTGTAACCCAGTTTTTCTGTTCTTTATATTCCTTTCCTTACATAGTCTAGGTTATTTTTCCCTCTCGGCGGTATTTAAAGTTGTCACATTTCAATGCCATTTTTGGCATCTTTGAAAAATGCCAGTTTCCCAGGATGGCTGGGGCCTCGCAGCTGGTATTTTGTTTGTAACTCTCCAGAAAAGCAAGGTACAGGCACAGCTTCTAGGCAGCTGCCTGCGTGGAGCTTTGTGTCTCAGCTACAGCCTAAAGTCTGCTCTGTGGCAGCTGTCAAAGCAAGAGCAAGGTACAGGCACAGCTTCTAGGCAGCTGCCTGCGTGGAGGTTTGTGTCTCAGCTACAGCCTAAAGTCTGCTCTACGGCAGCTGTCAAAGCGAGATCTGATTTTATTTTTGATTTTTTTTTTTTTTTTAGAAGGTGTAGGGGTATAGAATTGAAGTTTTAATGTGCAAGGGTATGTGGTTGAATTCTGGAAGCGTGTTAGTCATTTCCTAGTTTTTACGTTGAAAGGATGGGTAGGAGGGGAAGGGACACTTGTCGGGGGGGCCTGGCAAAGAACCAGGAGCTGCTGCTTGGATCAAATCAAATTTGGGAGCCTTTGTACTAGAACATGTAGGATATTTGATTGCAGAGAGTGGTATGTTTTCCTGAAACTTTCTCAATGTTCTGGGCTCCTGGTCTGTAAATTTGCATTAAAAATTCAAATTCTTAATAGCATGGAAGAGAGTGGGGATTTGGCTTTTAATGCAAGGAGCTGCGTTTTCAGCCATTGTCTATAATGTTAAAATATGATTGTTTAATTATTGTGCTTGATATTTACAGGAGAAGATGTTTGGTCTTACGCAAAGGGGCTTCCTCAGCTGTTTCAGCAGGGTGGAGTATTCTACAGCATAATGAAGAAAACCACAGGTATTTTTTGGTTTTGTTTTTATCCCTTCCTTCCTCTGTTTTCAAATCTTTAAAATTGTAAATTGGTATAGAGTCACTTGTAAGCACAAATATATTTTTATATGATTACCGTGATACACTCTCATTTTCATAATACTGTAAAACTCTTTATGTTCTCTGGGAGAGCCTGACTAGGGAATCAGACTAGTTCATTCAACTTAATTCTCTTCTTTTCTGAAACTTTCTCTACAACCATATATCTCCATTTAAACTTCCTGAATTGTACAAACAACTTCAATAAGTGAACTGATGTTTTAATTTTATTTTTTTTTCCCCGCAAAGATCAAACAAAGAGATCATGGGACCCTGTTATACTTTTAAATACTTTCTAGATAGGCAGTTCATTTTTCTAGTGTGCTTTTTAGTAGATATTTTATACAGGGGTAGTGCATGTTTTAAATTTAAATGTTTGATTAAATTTGGCTTTTGTTTACCTAAGATTGTTGTATAAAAGCAAAACTTATCCATCCTCTTCTTGTGTTGGTAAATGTTGCATCTTGGACTAAGTGCAGAATAGCAAGTAGTTGGAGTATATTTAATTTTAAGATGGCTTTACAAATACTACCTGCAAAGAATAACATCTGGTTCTTTAGAGAAGAAAGTACTATGCAGTTATTTTCTCCCATTTAAAGGTTATTCTCTTATTGAAGTCTTTGCGTTCATATTTTAGCTCTTGTGGTTTAATCTATAATAATGATTCCTTTGCTGCTTTCTTACTCTTTGATTATGTTTTTTTTTTCTTAGGCATTTTTATTAACCTTAATCTTGATTATTTCTGGGAACAGGTATTTTACCATGTAATTTCTGTTCTGTTTGCAGTAATTAAAATGTGTGGTATACTCAATGCCCGCTACCTCTCACTGAATTATTAGCCTGGGTAACACAATTAGCATCCAAGTGTCTTATAGCAGATATATTTCCTTTTAGTTTTCTTTCTTTTACTATGCTTGTACAATACAGATTGGTGTATTGTTACAAGTGAATTGCTATTGAGCAAGTGAATTAACTCAAACAGAGCCTGGTGGAAGGGACATTTTGGACAATTAATGGCTAGCCAGAGTTGAGAACCTGAAGTGAATCCAAGGGATTTTAACCCAGGTGATCATCAACTCACAGAAAATGCCTGACTTAAGTCATTTTAGCCAACTGACAATATAAGAACTAAGGCTGTGGGAGATGATATTCTGTATTTGAACATTACTGCATCTGTATGTGCAGTTATTCCACTGCCTCGGTAGGTAGAATTATTATTTCAGCATTAACATATTTGTATGGGTCTAATATTTTATGAGCTACTAAATTTACCCATTAAGCAATTAGTGTGCAACAATCTATCTTTTTCACTCAAAGAAGCTCCTTGCCCATTTGTAATGTTTTAGTTAATGTAATAATGCAACTATTATTCTGGACATATGGAACAAAGCTTCCTATCAAGTGTGGGTACTGTTAATCAATTGAAATTTGATTTAGTAGATCTTGTTTAGGATCTTATTTTGAGATTTCAGGATTGCAATGTCAGAGACAGTTCTGGTCTATCACAGAAGCTGTTACAGCTCCCTCTTTGGCTAATGAAGGTTGAGCTGGTAAATTGCATAGTTAAAATCTGTTCTTCAGGCTAAGTTAGAGGGAGAGATGTTTGGGGTTAAACTGTGGAGTTCTGTTCTGGCTGTTTGGTTATTGGTTCCCATGGATATGTAAAGAAGGGAGCCAAGTGACTGAAGTTCTCAAAATAAAATCTCATCTGTAGATTCTCTGCAACTGTAAAAGTGTGTGAATCAGAAGCTGTGGAGAAGGAGAGAGATTGGTCAGTTTGTTCATCAGTATAAAAACAGCTTTATAACGTTTCAAATGATGAGTGACCTTTTCCATTGATGCCCAGAGTACTTGTTTTGACAAGTTATTTGATAATACAGAAATAGGGTTTGCCTGTTGTGTTTCTTACCTTCAGCATTATTTCTGGTGGTTTTCTTCAAGAATTGTAAGAGAATATGGGGGAAAATCCCATTAATTTATTTATTCCTGGCGCTTCTTAAAAAGTTGTTTGTTTTTTTTTTAAAATGTAGCTCTTCTTCCATAGCTGATAGAACTGAAGAGAGTTGTTGCAGCCAAGTTTTCATCTGGAGATAGCTTTTAACTCACAGAAAGCCATCTTTTACCACCATCTGTATGGGATAGAGATGAAAGAGTTATTTTGTATTTTATGATGATAAACTGGAAAACTGAACGTTGCCCGTTTTTGACACAGAGCAGCTTCAGAACTTAAGGTTGTCTACTGAACCCTCAATTTTTGCAGATCAGTCAAATTGTAAGTGGGACAATGAAACGAACAGCAGATCAAAAATATTATGCCACATGTTTTGTTTGGTAAAGGTTAATGGTTATGATCTCCAGGACTACCAAACAAAGTAAGCTCGAAACACTTTCGTTTATCGAATAACACTTCCCCTCGGAGGAGAAATAGCAAATTTGAAATTCCTCAGGCTCAGCAGCAGTTATACACCCTGAAAGGCTACTGCAGCTCTAACTGGTACAGAAGTGGTCTTAAATAGTACTCCTCCAGATGGGCAGTGATTAGAAATGTGCCCTTTGGGTTTTTTTGGGGGCAGGTTGTGGTAGTGATGGGGTTTGACTCACTTTGTGTTACTGCAAGCAGAGACTATTTCTTAAACTTCTATTAGAACTGTGAGTCCCAGCAAGGTGGTTATCCTACCTAGTGATACTGCAGCCCTGTCTCTTCATTAGCAATCCCTGTATAACCCTAAGATGCTGCTGCCTTCTGTGGTGATTCTGTCATATGGCATACAAGCCTAAATTGTTTTTCTCCCACATCACAGAATTGTCTAGGTTGGAAGGGACCTTTCAGATCATCTAGTCCAACCATCAACCTAACTCTGATAAATGACTCCACCACTGCCCTGGGCAGCCCATTCCAACGCTTAGTAACCCCTTCCATGTAAAAATTATTCCTAATATCCAACCTGACCCTCCCCTGGTGCAACTTGAGGCCATTTCCTCTTGTCCTATTGCCTGTTCCTTGGGAGAAGAGACCGACCCCCCCCTGGCTACACCCTCCTTTCAGGGAGTTAGAGAGAGCGAGAAGGTCTCCCCTCAGCCTCCTTTTCTCCAGGCTGAACACCCCCAGCTCCCTCAGACGCTCCTAGAATCATAGAATCATTCAGGTTGGAAGAGACCCTTGGGATCATCGAGTCCAACCATCTACCCTACTCTACAAAGTCCTCCCCTACACCATATCCCTCAGTACCGCATCTAAACGTCCCTTAAACACATCCAGGGATGGTGACTCCACCCCCTCCCTGGGCAGCCTGTTCCAATGCCCTATCACTCTTTCCGTGAAAAATTCCTTGTAATGTTCAATCTAAACCTACCCTGTTGGAGCTTGAAGCCGTTCCCTCTTGTTCTGTCGTTAATTACCTGTGAGAAGAGCCCAGCACCAACCTCTCTACAGTGTCCTTTCAAGTAGTTGTAGAGAGTGATGAGGTCTCCCCTCAGCCTCCTCTTCCTCATACTAAACAGTCCCAGCTCCTTCAGTTGTTCTTCATATGATTTGTATCATAATCTAAACACATACATTGATGGCAGAAGTTAATGGAAACCATATCATTTTGCTTGACATGGAGTTTGATTGGTTTGGATTGGAAGGGACCTTAAAGCTCATCGAGTTCCAACCCCCTGCCCTGGGCAGGGACACCTCCCACCAGCCCAGGTTGCTCCAAGCCCCATCCAGCCTGGCCTTGAACCCCTCCAGGGATGGGGCAGCCACAGCTTCTCTGGGCAACCTCTTCCAGTGTCTCACCACCCTCACAGCAAAGAATTTCTTCCTAAAATCTAATATCTAGATATCTAAATCTGATATCTAATCTCTTTCAGTTTAAATTATGCTTCAGTGTAAAAATGACCTCTGTTGCAGTGACTTGCAGACACTTTAAGAGACTTCTTTCAAGAGTTTTCATGGAAGACTATTATTCTCTGTTCTGTTAATGAAGAGAGTGATGAGGTCTCCCCTCAGTCTCCTCTTCCTCACACTAAACAGTCCCAGCTCCTTCACTCTTCATATGATTTGTCTCCCAAGCCCTTCACTAGTTTCATTGCCCTCGTAAGACTTACTCCATAATAAGTTTCAGCATGTTTGTTTTTACACGCTTGATGCAATAAATTTTAAATACACTAATTTCTGTGTATTCAGAGAATGCCTTAAAATATGTTAGCACTTGGAATAACTTCTTCTGTCTTCCTAGGTCTGGCTGATGGCAAGCACTGTACTTTCCCACACCTGCCTGGTAAAAACTTTGTGTACAACGCGGCAGAAGACAGATTAGAGCTGTGTGTGGATGCTGCTGGGCACTTCCCCATCGGTCCCGACGTGGAAGAGCTGGTTAAAGAGGCCTTAAGTCAAGTGAGAGCAGAAGCTACTTCAAGGAGCAGGGAAGCGAGCCCGTCGCACGGGATGCTGAAGCTGGGCAGCGGTGGAGTGGTGAAAAAGAAATCTGAACAGCTGCATAACGTAACTGCGTTTCAAGGAAAGGGCCATTCCTTAGGAACTGCATCCAGTAGTCAACAGCACGATCCGAGAGCCAGGGAAACACCACTTTTAAGAAAGCATAGCACAGAAACGGACTTCAGTCCTTCTGCTAAAATGGAGCCTTCCGTATTCACCGCTGCCTCCGGTAACAGCGAGCTGATCCGAATCGCGCCGGGAGTCGTGACGATGAGAGACAGCAGGCAGCTCGACCCCACTCTGATCGAAGCCCAGAGGAAAAAATTGCAAGAAATGGTCTCTTCCATTCAGGCTTCGATGGATAGACATTTGCGGGATCAGAGCACGGAGCAGTCGGCGTCGGTCGATGCGTCTCCGAGGAAAACAGAGGCAGGGAGTTCGACTGCCAAAACTGGGAGCTTTCAGGCTGGTTTGCCCGAATCGTTCTCCGGTACCGAACGCTTGAACACGGAATCAACTGATGGTAACGGGGTGAATTCTGGGGGAACAACATTCCCTGCGAGGTCTAAAGCACAAAAGGGCAATTCTGTTGAGGAGCTTGAGGAGATGGATAGTCAAGACGCAGGAATCGCTAATACAACTGAGCCGATGGATCACTCTTGATAGGTTAACATTTAATAAGGGTAGAGAAATTACTGTTCAAAATGTTTATTGGCTGGGCCACACAAAGTGATTAGTTATTAAATCTTGTATGTATGTCAAAGATTATATCATCTTATTCAGTGCATGATAAGCGTGTGATTTGGCAATAGCTTTCAATATTACTATACTGCTGCCCAGGCTGGCTCTGTTACCTGTAAATTAGTTCTTAGGAAATGCACTGAGATGAGTATCTGCTGTAAATGTGGGTTCTTGAAAATTCTTTGTAATTTTTAATTCCTTTAAAAGTCTTAAAATTTAAGCCCGTGCAAGGTTCTTACCATGCTAGTTAAAGGTTACTGGAAAGGCTAGAACAGGCAAAACTAGAAACATGACCAAGTTAATCCTGTCCCGGGTACTTAATTCCACTCAAAAATACACTATAAACATGAATTCTCCATAAATTTCAAAAAGCAACTGAAACTAAACTTCCACTAAATTTGATAATGCAGCATTAGACAGTACTTTAATTCCACTCTGCTGGCACTTCCTCCAATTTAAAAACTTTTTCATTCATACAGCTGTATACGCTTGTCAGAAATCTTGGAATAAGTGTAACTTTAGTAAACTCTCTCATTTCTGCATATTGTCAGTTTAAGCAAGTTAGGAAAAAAAAAAAAGGCTACTTTAGTGTCTGATGAAGATAAAGTGACTGTGGTGTGGGTATGCATGGCTGGCTGAGCCAACACAACCATTTTGGTGCTCTGTTAGTAAGTGATTAGCATGTTTTTATTTCCTCCCAAATACCGAGCTGGTCAGACGTTGTGCAAGTTTTAGTACAACTGCAGGAGAGAAGAAGTTGGCAATTGCAAGAAACAACAATGGCAAATCCGTTTTCTTTTTAGAAGGCTTTGATCACTAGCATTGGTTAGTAATGGCAAAAATTAATTAATGGCCATCCTCTTCAGAGCAAATTAATTTATTGGAAGGAAATGACTCTCTAACATACATGATCCTAAAGCGTTCAGTGATAATTGAGCTTTTGGAAGCTCGTTGTTTAGTCTGTGGAAACAAGGAGCACGTTTGCCCACCTTTATTAGGCTCACTTGAGTTTTGTGGTGCGGGTTTTCCCTGCCTTCATTGTGGCCATCCTCTTCAGAGCAAATTAATTTATTGGAAGGAAATGACTCTCTAACATACATGATCCTAAAGCGTTCAGTGATAATTGAGCTTTTGGAAGCTCGTTGTTTAGTCTGTGGAAACAAGGAGCACGTTTGCCCACCTTTATTAGGCTCACTTGAGTTTTGTGATGCAGGTTTTCCCTGCCTTCAGGGATAACAGAAGCTGGTATCCACTTACGGAGCGCGTTCGTCAGCCCCACAGTGCTCTCCTTCCTAAGAGGCAGCCCTTGTGCTCCCTCCCTAAGGATGGGATGTCTCTCTGATACTGCACTTTTGCTTCCTATCCTCAGATTTAAGTGCACTACTGTTTGCTTCCTCTCACAGTAAAATAACCTTGAATGGGTGAAAGGTGTTCATGCAGCTTCAAAGGAATTAAGAGCATTTCAATATTGAAGTCTGTGTTTTGTGCACACGTGGGTTTTTACCAGTTTCGCTAAATGTTGTTTGTATTGTATATGTTTATATTCCGAAAAGTCTCCTCACTTTTTACATTTCTAATCACTTAAGCAGTTCTAAGCATTAGGATGGCAAAACGTCCCGTGAGGGAGGATTTATTTTTGTATGCAAAAAATTAACTGAAGCGAGTAACTTCAAGAATAGCCCCTGTTTTGTCAAAGTAAATTAAAATGCCTCCGTTGGTTAACTTCTTCTGTAGAGGGGATAAATATTTTATGATTTAGCACACTACTTACAGGTCCAAAAAAATAAGAATCACCTTTTCACAGATGATAAACTCAAATTGGTAACCTGTAAAGTTAGCGATGGGGAAGCTTGGAATGTATGAAGTCATTTGGCTCACCAGAACTGACCTTGCTGATGCACTGATTAACTGGCAGGGCTTATGGAGTGAGAAATGGGATGCACAGGCAGCAGCTGGAAGGCAGCCACCACTCCTGCAAACACTCAGTCTCCTCTGAACCAGTGGAGCTGGGCTGAAGGCTGCTCCTGCATGGAGAACATTGCGCTTCGTCACAGCGTGTGGTTTGGAAAAGGACGGCGGTGGCACCTTCCTGGGAAGGGGTTTAAGTCCAGAGAGGCTGAGGGGGGAGGAATCTCCTGGATCTCTTGCATTTTAGACAAGGTAACTATCACTTAGGCATGTTTAACTTTATTTTCTTTAGAAATATAAGTCTTCCTCGGCTGAAAAAAAAAATACAGGCAGCGTATGTGAGAGAATTTGAAGTTTGAAAGAAAGTGAAATCTTTGTTGCACGTCATCCTTATTTCAAGGGAAGGTGCTTACTTCTTTCATGCCTTTCTGCTAAGACTACAGAAGTTTGTGTGCCTTTTACTGTGTAAAGAGGAAGGCTTGGTTTAATTTTGACACACTTCCCACTTCAGCGGTAGTTTGACGTTTTCCTTCTTATCTAAATAGAAATAGACACAGATAATATCTCCGTTTGACTTACCCTTAGTGTCACCTCGGGTCTGCTCAAGTCACATAGATCAGAACCCTCTGGTTCCTAAAACAAAAGGCTCTCAAAAAGGAATGATAAATTGGTATCAAAATCACAAGATCCACTGATGGAAGTTCCTCTGGTGTAAAGCAGGATTGCGTGTATTTCTTTGCAGTGTTCTTATTTCACGTAGCTTTTTCATGCATTTAAATATCAGTGGGGTTTTTTTTGAGAAAAGATGGCTTTGGGTAGTCTCAAGTGAAGCTAAACTTCATCCACGTGCCGGTGAGCTGTGTAACTGTACAGGAGAAGTGAAATAAAGAACACTGAAGTGTTAAGTTTGAACAGATTTTTTTTCATTCAGTTGCCTGTCTTAGGAGCGCCCACGTGCTTGGTGGGTTTTCTTGGTGGAGTTTTAGGAGAAGGGTGGTGGGCTACGAGGGCGAGAGGAGATGGGTCAAATAGGACTTCTCAAATGATGTGAAGAGCATCCCTTTCAGGGAAAAAAACCAAATCCCACCCAGCTCCTTGCTCCTGAACTGCCTGTGGCTCTACATTCTTTTTGAGTACCTGCCTTGAGGACTTTCTTTTTTAGGGGATAACCACCTTCTACACTGTGTCTCACAGCAAAGGTGACTTAAGTTACTTGAAAAAACCTAAACTTCGCTATGGCTTAGTGTGTATAACCAAAATTAAAGAAGATTACTGAAAACACAGGCCCAGTAGAAAAAAAGGAAAAAAAAATAAGAAAAAAGAGAATGAACTGGATTGCTGATGAGCATATGGGAAACATTGGGAGAACAGGTCAGTTTTCCAGGCAAATGCAGGATTTTTACAGCTTCAGCTGGCTGCTCAGTAAGGCTGACTTTTTTTTCTGATAGCGCCGTTTCTCTGTGAATTGTTTGGGTTTCGGGGAGGGGCAAATAAACAGCAGCTTTTCAAATGAAATCCTACAACTATATTTGGGGTGTCTTCACCATGGCAGTCACAAAACAGCAGTGCACGTTGTTGGTTTTGTGAATCCCTTAGAGTTTTCTGGTCTGATAGAAAGTGTGAGCTGGATGGTGCCTCTGGCAGCGTCGCGGGGACACAACATCACACCAGCCCTGTGCAAGAGGCACACTTTTAAGACCAAAACGCTTCATTTACCATCTTTCAAAAAAAAAGTCGAATCTCTTGTGGCTGTCAGAGGGTTAGGAGAGTCGGCGCGCTGAAAAGGCCAGGTAATAAAATTCCCAGTGGGAAAACGATGCTGGATCCCAAATGTCTGAAAAATGAATGATTTCAAGAAGATGCCACTGTTATTGCTACGTTCGTTTGGCTCCCGTTTTCAAATAGCAGATTCGACGCGCTTTTGTAAAGTGATAATAATAGGAAGTTGATCCTTCTGTTAAAGAAAAAAAAAAAAAGCCACGACAGTAAGTGGTTTCTTTGTTTTGCTTGTGGATATAAGTTGAGCTTCTTAAATGGAAGAAATTGCTTCAGATCTTTAGGATGCAGGATTCCCTCTGAGCCCTTAACGCCTGCGGTTGAGCAATAAAAAAGGTTGAAACAAGAGTGGTATTTTCAGAATTCTTTTCCGTTTAACGAGGATTATTGCCAAGAGATGAAAGAGTGCACTTTTAGGAGGGAATGCTATTTAAAATGTATAAATAAGAATTAAAATAGTGTATATATTTAGAAAACAAATCTTTTTAAACAGCAAGTGCTTTACATGTTGAATTAAAAAATAAATTAGCATAGAAACTATACCATCTTCACAGTACTGGCTGTTGCCCAGCACAGTTTGGTTTGTTTTATTTGTGATTGCTGTACTAATTATATTTGATTTTTTTATCTGTAATGTAACAATAGTGTATTATAACAGTATATAGTGTACTATACTACACTTCACTGTACAGTATTTGGAATTTTCTTTGATTGCTATATTAAAACTATAAGTTAAAACATCTGCTTTGGTTTGATAAGGTGCAACTTTTCTCTGGCCTTTCACACATTAGCCTGTTTAATTAACACCGATTTGACTACTAAAGCACATGGGTTGTAATTATATGAACTTCTGCATTCTACATATAAATTGCATTATACTTGCAAATGTTTTTGGAAGACAAACTCTTTATGGAAAACTTTGGGGTTTTTTTTGCCTTATACCTCTTCTGAATGTTTCATTCAACACATAGGACCTTTGAATCTGAGAAATTTTTAAAGCAGAGTTTTACATATTTTAGTCAAGAATGTGAGATCTGAAACTTTTTTCAAAGTTGTCACCAAGGAAAAAGTGTAGAAAAACGCTGACCAAGTCATCATGACATTTAAGATCTCTTGCAATCTGTGGTTTGAACCATAGGTCAAAAGGTATGTCAAAGCAAAATTTTATTGCGTGCATGTAATACGCAGGTGTGAATAGTCTAATTTGGAAGAACTAGGCTTTCAAAAATTTGGCAATACTCAAAGATCTGTGTATCAGAGGCTTGTACAAGGAACAGTGTGGCCAACAGGACTGGGGCAGTGATGGTCCCCCTGTACTGGGCACTGGTGAGGCCCCACCTCGAGTGTTGTGTCCAGTTTTGGGTCCCTCAACACAGGAAAGACATTGAGGTGCTGGAGCAGGTCCAGAGAAGGGCAACGGAGCTGGTGAGGGGTCTGGAGCACAAGTCTTGTGAAGAGCGACTGAGGGAGCTGGGGGTGTTCAGCCTGGAGAAAAGGAGGCTGAGGGGAGACCTTCTCGCTCTCTCCAACTCCCTGAAAGGAGGGTGTAGCCAGGGGGGGTCGGTCTCTTCTCCCAAGGAACAGGCCATGGGACAAGAGGAAATGGCCTCAAGTTGCACCAGGGGAGGTTCAGATTGGAGATTAAGAACAATTTTTATATGGAAAGGGTTATTAAGCCTTGGAATGGGCTGCCCAGGGAAGTGGTGGAGTCACCATCCCTGGAGATATTTAAAAGACGGGTGGACATGGTGCTTAGAGACATGGTTTAGTGATGGGGTTTTATCAGTGTCAGGTTGATGGTTGGACTCGATGTTCTTAAAGGTCCCTTCCAACCCGGGCAATTCTATCATTCTAGAATGAACATGTTGACAACAACTTAAATTATCTCTGTGCTTTTTCCACCATCT